GTAATAATAGAAATAATGTGTACAATAAATGTAATGTGCTTGAATCATCCTAAAACCACCCCCCACATCTGCAGAAAAGTTATCTTCCTCGAATCTGGTCCCTTGTTCCAAAAAAGTTGGAGACTGCTGCTCTAACTTCTTCTCTCTCTCTTAGGCAGCCTTCATTCCAGTGATTTCAAATTCCCAGCTGATACTGAAAATCCCAACCTATAAGTTCTTCCTAGACCTCCTTCTGGTTACCGGACCTGACATGACATACCCACTTGGGAGTCCCCAAAGGGATCTCACACTAGGCAAATTCTTATTCATATTTTGGGACTCAGCTTCAAATGTTGGCTCCTTACAAAGTGACACTGCCCTGATTCAGCTAGGAGGTTACATTCCCATTGTGCGAGTCCAGCTCTCTTCTTTCAAAGAATTGATCCCAGACTCAATGGACTGACTACACATCATTTTGAAATATCTGTTCCAGCCGGGCTCAGTGGCTCAGCCTGTAATCCCAGCGCTTTGGGAGGCTGAGGTGAGTGGATTGCCTGAGCCTGTTGGGTTCAAGACCCACCCAGGCAACTTGGTAAGACCTTATCTCTACAATAAACAAAAAAATTAGACAGGCGTGGTAGCGCGTGCCTGTAGTTTCAGCTACTTGGAAGGTTGAGGTGGAAGGATTGCCGGAGCCCAGCAGGTCAAGGCTGCAGTGGCCGGGAGCGGCCACTGCACTCCAGTCTGGGTGACAGAGTGAGACTCCAACTCAAAATAAAAATAAATAAATAAATTTTAAAAAATGAAATATCTGTTCCTTCATTAGACTGTAAGCTATATGGGAACAGAGGCATTCTGTCATGTTCACTGTGCTGTTCCCTTTCCACCTAACTCACGGTGGCTGGCCCAGTTGTTGTAACTTCCTGCCATCACACCTAGAAACCTTCCTCCCTCTCCAGTAAACCTTGCCTTCTCCTTTTCAATGAAGACAGTTTCCACTTCCTACTTTGTGCTGTCTCCTCCACCTGTGTCTTAGATCTCATCTCCTACTTTCTCAGAACCCTTGAGCTACCAATTACTTCACTTACCCTTTTATCTTTTCTTTCTCTCCATTACACCCTTCCCATTAGAGAAAAGCAAATTCTTTCTTAAACCTTTAATTATGAAGGTTCTGAAACATGCCTATTGCTCAACTCAATAACTGTTTGCTTTCGTCATATGTGCTTCACCTTTTTCCTGCTCACTTTAATTATTGAAGCTATGATTCCACTCCCAAACATTTCGGTATGCATCTTTGAATAAGGGTATTTCCCAATGTAACTATTCGTACCATTATCACACCAATAAATTTTATAGCAGCCGGGAGTGGTGGCTCATGCCTGTTATCCCAGGACTTTTTGAGGCCGAGGTGAGAGGACTGCCTGAGTCCAGGGATTCGAGACCAGCCTGGGCAACTCGGCAGACCTTGTCTCTACAATAAATCAAAAATTAGCCGGGCGTGGTGGCGCTTGCCTGTAGTTCCAGTTAATTGGAAGGCTGAGGTGGAAGGATCACCTGAGCCCAGCAGATGGAGGCTGTGGTAGCCATGATTACACCACTGCACTCCAGCCTGGGCAACAGAGTGAGACTCCGACTCAAAAAAAAAATTTTTTTTTACAGTGATTCCTTAATATCATCTAATACCTAGTTCATATTCAAATTTCATCACACATCCCAAAACATCTTTTACAGATGATATTTTTGAATCAGGATTCAATCAAGGGTCACACACTGTATATGGATATCTCCTTTACATTTATTTTTGTCTCTCTCAGAAGATATTCTGAACATCTGCCTCACTGGCCATCCCCTCCCCTCTTCCTTCATGGTGCTGTCATGTTGAAAAGACCTCACTAGTTTTCATTGTCATTACTGAGATTCAAGTCTCCCGGTCTAAAAACAACCACCTACCACAGAACACGTCTCCGCATCCCTTCCAGCTGCTTTTCTCTTCTCCTCCAACTTAATGGCCACACCGGTCAGCCCTGCTGTCTCCACGCCTTTCTCACCCATCCCAACCTGGATTTCATCCACTGCTGTAATTGCTCTCGTAGACTCTCCAGTGACCTCCACGTCTGGAATCTTTACACCCCTTTTCAGTCCTTAAACTACAGTTCCAAGGCCCCCGGGGGATGTAGATGACAACGGACAGTGGTGACTTCCCCACATACGGTGTCTTTAGGATCTAGTAGCCAAGATGGCCACTAGGGGCTGCATGGCAGGTAGCGTACGCCCTGTGGATACACCGGACCAAGGGACAAGTCACGTCTAGACGGAGCGAGACATCATCAGACTACTCAGAAGAGCTCACAGTTTAAAGCTTATGATATGTTTCTTTCTGGAATCTTCCATTTGACTACAGGTAACAGAAACTGCGACGAGCCAAACAAAAGATAAGGGGGGCTACCGTACTTAGCTCTCAGCAACACCCCACTGCTGTACGACCCCTCCTACGCAAGCACGTCTTGACCTCAGGGACCCCCACTCGGCATCTTCCCACTCACCAATTCTCCCCTTAGCTCTCCCAACTCTATCTGAACACCAGACACTAAAGGAAATCCTAGGACTGCCCAACTCTCTTCATGCTCTGCTCTTTCCCTGAAGAATCTCATTTTCTCATGTGACTGACTTACCATCTAGGCTTGGCAAGTCCACATTTCAGCTCCACCCAGTTCACACTTCTGCTCTATGGATTTCAGTAGAAGTGACGACCTTACGTCCCCACCTGCACACCTCACAGAAATCTCAAGCTCGGCACGTCTGAAGTTATTTCATTATCTTCTTCCTCCTGGTCTACCATATCACCCTAGCTTTCCTCCAGCTCTCCCTAACTCAGTCAGTTTACTAATCCTTCACTCTGGCTTACGCCGAGAACCAACAGATCTTCAACTTAATCCTCGCTCTTTCTCAAAGCCCAGCAGTAAGTTCTGCCTTTTCTACTTTTAAAACATCCTCTGATCTGCAGTCGTGTCCAAGGGCTGCCATAACATAGCATCACAAACCAGGTGGCTTAACACCCAGAAATATGCGGATAAGTCTGAAGACCAGAAGCCTGAAACGAGGTGTAAGCAGGGCTGGTTCCTTCTGCGGGTGCTGGGGAAAAGCTTGTCCCTGCCAACCCCCCAATATCTGGCGGTAGCTGGAGACCTTCGTTGTTCCTTGGCTTGTAGTCACATCTCTCCACTCTGCCTCAGTAGTCAGTCACATGGCCTTCTCTCTGCGTCTCTGTAGCTCTCTCTCTATAAAGACACCACTCATTCATTCTCAGGTCAAGCCTAATCCAGTGTGACCTCATCTTAACTTCAATAAAAATGCAAAGATCCTGATTCCGAATAAGGTCACCTCCACAGGTTAGGTCTTCGGCACATATTCTCAGGGACACACCTCAACTGCCAGCGCGACCCCTTCTGCTTCTCTGTGTAGTTGAGTGGTGAAGAGGAGGGCTCCGGAGTCAGAGGCCTACCTTCAAACGCTAGCTCCACCACTTTCTGCCTCCCTGTGTGACCTCAGGAAAGCTACCTCCTCTTTGTACTTCTGGCTCCCCACTGGACAGTGGGGGGTGAAAACAATAACTATCTCTAGGGTTGCTGTGAGAGTGACACCAGGTGATGTGTCAGCACCTGATACAGACCCTGTGCATGAGTGCTATGTAAGTGTTAGCTACCATCATTGTCTCTACCTGCCCTGATTAGAATGGTCACTCCCACATCCACTCCTCTCCCTTCCAATCTGTTCTCCACACTGTAACCAGAAGGATCTTGCAGATAACACAAGTCTGGTCATGCCACCGTCTTGCTTAAGACACTATCTTCACCTGCCTGAGTTTTTGCCCCAGCTCTACACTGCTCACAGCTCTCCTCATCCTCCCAACCCTTCACCTTCACCTAGTTAATGTTCACTCACTTATCAGATTTCAGGCTAAACACTTTTCTTCTAGAAAGTTTCTGTAGGGCAACAGACAGTCAGTGACACCATGACCACACTCTGGACATGGCCTCAAGCAGGAGTTTGGAGCCTGGGGAAGAGGTCCTTGGGTGGAAACCCTGGGATTTCCCTTTCCCCTCAGGCTCTGGCATAGGCATGCAGTTTACACTGAGGCCTTGGGTGAAGTGTCCTCCTGCCTGCTGACACACCCTGCAGCTGGGCACAGTGAACATTCTCGGCAACCTCTCATGAGGCAGTCGCCCTACAGGCTGGCTCAGACCAGAATGAGCATGTCCAGACCAAGGCCCGTCACTTTAGCTCCCTTTAGTTCATTGTAATACTAAAAATCCCACCCTGGAGAGAATCACAGCCATTTTGCGAACATGCAGAGTGCTTGTGCACGCACGTTCTCACACGATGCCTGCATGCTGGAAACGCCACTCTTTTCGAGCTTAACCCCGCGCTCTGCCCCATGTAAACTGCGATATGCCCCGTGTGCCTCTGACAGTCGGGAGTATTTTCTTCGGACCACATTCCCCATCTGTGAGTCGCTGAATGAATGTCTCGTCCATACACTCTCGCGCTCAATATATCCCTGTTGATGTAATCACCCAGCTCCCAGGCTTGGGTTTTAGCGACCGGAAGGGACACACTTGGTCCACTCCAGCAAATGACTCGCGGTAGGCGGCGTCCGGCCTGGACCCTGCCTCCTCCAGCAAGCGGCAGCCTCCCCAGGAGACGGAGAGGTCGGCCTGCGTCCTCAGCGCCGTAGTCCCGAGTCCCACACGGTCTGGGCACACCGCAGGCACCGCCTCGCCGCCGGGATGTAAGCCCTCCCGGGCACACGGGCGGCCGGGGGTCCGCGCCCCCGACGCGTGCCCTCTCCTCGGGCCCCAGCTCCCAGGGTCCCCCGCGGCTCCCCGTCAGTCTCCTTTTCGGACTCCTGTGGCCCCAGAGGAGCCCCGCTGCCCCGCCCCAACTCCTGCCCTCAACACTCAGCCTTGGAAGCTGTCACCGGGCAAATAAACGCCGCTGGGCGGGCGGCCGAGGCCACTCACTGTTCTTGAGGAACCGCTCCTCGTGCAGCACGGCGATGGCGTTGACGCAGAGCAGGGCGGCCTGCAGCAGCGAGTACAGGGTGAAGGCCATGGCCGCGCCCAGCCGCCGGGCACGCCGAGTCCTCCCCAGCTGCCAGAGACGTGGCGCCGCCGCGG